CCCGGCGGCCCGGGAGCCGGTGGGGCAGCGGAGGAGATCAACACCAAGGAGGTGGCGCAGCGCATCACCGCGGAGCTGAAGCGCTACAGCATCCCGCAGGCCATCTTCGCGCAACGCATCCTGTGCCGCTCGCAGGGCACGCTCTCCGACCTGCTGCGCAACCCCAAGCCGTGGAGCAAGCTTAAGTCCGGCCGAGAGACCTTCCGCAGAATGTGGAAGTGGCTGCAAGAACCCGAGTTCCAGCGCATGTCGGCGCTGCGCCTGGCAGGTAGGAGCGCGCCGCTCACTTCCCCCCCACGGCCCGCGAGCGAGCGCCGGCGCGGGGCTCCCCAGCGCCGAGCAGGGCGGCGCCGAGCGCCCGACCGACCGGCCCTGCGCCCCGTTAGCCTAGGCCCCTTCGGAGAAGGCTAGATCAAGATCTGCGTCCCAGTCTGTGGGTATCGACGCCAAAAGAGGAAAGGGATGGGGGTGGGGGGGGAGGGAATGGGGCCTTCTTCCCTCTCCAGCATGTCGCCGTCCCGGTCCCCCCTTGGGAACCAGCCCCTACGGGTTCCTCGTCCCTTTTGTCCTGCGAGGTCCAGGTTCAGGCCCTTTCTCCGACACCGAGCTCAGGATAGATCATTGTGTATGTGTTGTATATATGGATGTGTGTGCGTGCGCGCGCGTTCGTGCGTGCGTGCGCCTTGGGCTGAGGGGTGCTGTCTGTCAGATTGGGGTACTCCCCTCCTCCATAGTTAAACCTGGGACCCCCCCCACTCCCCACCCCAGCCCCGGTCCACCCAGTTGGTGCGCGGGAGCTGCTGGCGCCTCCCCGGCAGAGCTCAGGCTGGGCCAGGCTCAGCCCTCCAGCCCTCGCCGTTCTTTGTAGCTGGGCCCCGGCGATCGATAGTCCCTACCTCCCCACCCCTCCGGCCGCTGGCAAAGGTCACCCGAGAATGGGCGGGGGGAGGGGCGACCCCGGGGACCCTCGGCTCGCGGCCCGCCAGAGGCCTTCACAGCCGGGCCTGTTGGCAGCTCGCCTGTGTGTGCTCCTGGGTTGGATGTCCTCACCCCTCTCCTCCTAGCTCTTAGGTTTTTCTCTCTGGCTTCTGATCTATTTTCCCGCTGCTCTCTGGTTTCCTTATTCTTCCTTGTCCTTTTGCTTCTGTCTCTCTCTCAGGTAGCTCCCCCTCCCCCCTCCCGGACCTGCTCCCTCCCTCCCCAATGGACAGCAGCTGGGTCTACACATCCCCTCTCCAGCGAGGAAGCCCCCTTCAGGACTCGACAGACTGTGTGTTTGGGGGGGGCCGCAAGAGAGCCTCCAGTCTGGATGAGGGTTTTTCCCTGGCAGTGTTGGGGAGGGGGCTGTGCACCCAGCCACAGGGACAATAGCAGCTTCCAAATCGATCGCTTTCTCTACACACAAGAGCCAGAAAAGGTGGGGGGGCAGGCTGGGCCAGCAAGGAAGGCAGGAGGGATTTGACCGGACCGTACCCCTGTTCCTGCCAACAGAGAGGCTGAGGAGAAGAGAGGAGTTGGGAGGCTGAGATTGTCCTGAGTTGTGACACCCCCTCCCATTCAGCAAGCAGTTCCCTCTCCTTCCATTTCCAGGCTCGCTGGACAAAGCTCCTGGAGTCTGATGGGCCTCAGTTTCCCTCTTCTGCCAGACCAGGGTCTATCTAGCTGCAGCTCATATAGAGTTCTTAGAGTCTCCACTTTGGACCTCGGAGTAATTGTCTCTCAAATGTGGCAGGTAACTAAATCCCCAAGGATGTTGCTGGACCACGTTAGAAAGAACTACTAGCACTCAGACAGCTTCCCATTAGGGCAGAATCGCTGGGTTCTGTTCCTCAGACACATTGCACATCGGGGACTTCATCGTCCTCACCGTGGATGTCCAGCCGCCGTGCCAACGCAGGCTGCACTGTGCCGTGTAGGTGAACTCAGGTGACAGACATCATATCCCACAAGGGACCTGTCACCCCGCTGCCTTGTCCCCTGCCTAATGCCACCTCCAGACACATTATAGATGGCATGTGTTGTATTCTCCCTGCCCATGGTGTACCCAGAATCCATGCCAGCCTCCACATCTGTTTACATATCTAAGATTGACCCGTTAGTGGCATTTGGAAGGCCTATTTGAGGGGCCAAGCCGCGGAAGATTGCCCAGAGAATCACAAAGACAAGCTACAGGCTGCGTGAGAAGTTGACAGTGGAGCAGGTGGACAGAGTGTTTGGTGCTGGGAGCCTGTGGACGGCTCATTCGCGGCGGCCATCCGGTCTCAGGGCTCCCCTTTCTGCTCAGGTGTAGTTGCGACGGGGCAGGGAGGCAGAGTTACTCCGGGCATCGCCTCCCTAACCTTTGCAGTGGTGAACAGCCTCCACACTCAGGGTCTATTTTCCGTTTGGGAAACAGGAGCTGGAGTAGTGGGGAGCCGCCGGTCACCTGGGTGGCTGTAGGTGAGTGCGGGGGGGGGGGGGTGTGTGTGTCAAGATTCTCCGTCTCAAGCAAGGCTCTGGAAGAGTGGGGAGAGTGAACCAGGGCCCCCCTCTGCCCTTCATGACCCTCCCTTTTGGCTCCCTCCGCGTGCCAGCTAATCCAGGACGCCGTGGACACCTGGACACTCCGCCTGGGATGTCAGAAGTCGCACGGCCGCCAAGGCTGAGGGATAATTTAAGGCTTGGGCAGGCGGAGGCCTTTAGTTCCGGTCGCTGCGCAGATGAAAAGCGATTAAGTGGCGGCAAATCGAGGCGTTTAGGGGAGGCGGCCGGTGCATCCCCACCGCACTCACCCGCAGCACGGCCACGACCTGCTGGCGCCCGGAGCTTCCTCCCCGGAGAGGCTTCCTCCTCCCCAGCATCCTCTACCCGCGCACAGCGAAATCTGCACAGCCAGCCTGGCCAGCAGGGGAAGCCCCTTGCACACGGGCAGCCACTGTCCCCAGGCAGCCTCCAGTGTCCTGCCAGGAGAAGGAACTGTGAGAGAAAGGAGGAAGGGGACCACGGTGGGGAAATGGAGATGGACAGAGGGGACACAGAGGAAAAAAGAAAGAGACTGGAAAAGAAAGAAGAAACCAAAACAGAAAGGACTCAGGGAAAGACAAAAAGAGACAGGGAGACAAAGACCAGGCAAAGGAGACACAGACAGCGGCAAGGAGACAGAGTTAGATCAGGGGCTAGAGGAGCCTTTGCTGGACTCTTCTCCCACCCATCTCCTGGACCCCCAGACCTGGAGAAACAGTGGCCCTCTCTCTCTCTCTCTCTCTCTCTCTCTCTCTCTCTCTCTCTCCCTCTTCTCCTCTCTCTCTCTCTCTCTCTTCCTCACGATTGCAGCCCCAGTAGTAAGGGCTGCAAGAGATGACCAAGTGGTTTCTTTGTTCCAAGAAATCCTTCACGATTTCTAGTTTCAGTACGGAATCTGTGTGCCTCAGTTTGCCCATCTGTAAAATGTGTGTCTGACGGTACCATTTGGTGATTCCAGGCCCAGTTAGTGTAGGGAAGGGCAGCCTTGAAGCTCCCATCCCGTTCCTACCAGGATGGGGCATCACACCCCTCCCGCGCCAGAATCCTCCTGCAGAAGCCCCCGCCCACCCCAGCGGCTTCTCGAACTGTGATTATAAGAGAAGGCTGGGGGAGGGGCGGTCGATGAATTCGAATTACCGTCTCTAATTCATCACCACCGTGGCTGGGTCGATAGCTCTGGCCGTCTTCAAATATTGTTTAAATTGCAACTGCGGAGGAAAAGTATTTTTTGTAGCCGATCAGAAAAATATACATAAAAATAATAAAATAATCAGAGGGAGGCCGTTGACACACTAACGCACCTTCGTTTCCTCTTCCTGATCCTCACTGGGTGGGGAAGGGTAAAGAACCCAGAAATCCTGTGGGATCCAAGGTGGGGGAAACTGAGGCAGAGAGGAACCTGGCACCTATGGGATTCTTGCCCCCAACATGGAACAAATCGCATCATCCCTAGGACAAAAACCAGAGTGGTTTCTGGAAAGAAATGCTAAAGGCCCTGGCTTAGTAATGACCCAACTAGAGGGTAGGACTGCCAAGAGCTGGGGTTCTATCAGGACTATGATAGATCCCTCACACAAGTCCTCAATTCCTCCATCCAGGACGGGTGGGTGGGAGAAGAGAGAAATGCGGGATCTGAGAGTCTCCTTTGAGGGAACAAGTGCTGTTGCTCCTTCTCTCTTAAAGGATCCCTCCCTGGCTCTGTGTGTGTGTGTGTGTGTGTGTGTGTGTGTGTGTGTGTGTGTGTGTGTGTGTCTAGGGGGTGCCAGTACAGCTTGAACTAAGAATCTGGTTGCTGTACCTTTGCATTTTGCTCAAGGCAAAGCACTCTACCGCTTGAATCACAACTCTACTTCTGGCTTTTTGCTGGTTTGTTGGGGAGCTAAGAGTCACATGGACTTTTGTAAAGCCCAGGTTGGCTTCGGACCATGATCTTCAGATCTCAACCTCCTGAATAATTTATAGGCATGAGCCACTGACACCTGGTCCTGGTGCCTTTTGGGAAAACCTTACCACCTACCCACCGCAGGAAAGAGACTCCAGCCTTCCAGCAGATAGACGAGAGAGCTGTCAGTATCAGGGAGAGCTAGAAATCCTGGACCTCACCTGGGTTCCAACCCCTGGGCAGAGAACCCCATAGACTGGAAGGAACGGAACTGGTAGCCACAGATGCTTCATGGCTTGGGCAGACAGGAAACATATCCAGGGCTTCAAGTGCTGCACATTTGGGACTTCTGTGCACAGTGCCCAGAGAGACAGAGTCTCCTCAAAACCAGCTCCCTCCCTCTTAAGCCAAGACCTGGGCTTTGCTGGGAAGCTTCCCTGATCATTGCTCTCTCTTGCACGTGTCCAGCACAGGGAGAAGGAGAGGCAAATAAACCCTGAGAGGAGACCGGCGAGGAGGCCCTAGTCCCTTGGTCTTTCGTCTCAGTTCCCCCTCCATAGATGGAACTCTGTGGAATAATCTTTTTGTTGGGGTGGGGGGAAAAACAGGTACTGGTTTGTTTGGTTTTCTTGCTTAAGGCTGGCATTCTACCACTCGATCCATACCTCCATTCTCCAAGTTTTGCTGGTTCATTGGAGATAAGCACTGCCCAGACTTTTCTTCCCATGCTGATTTGAACCTGGATCCCCAGATCTCAGCCTCCTGAGTAGCTGGGATTTCAGGCGTGAGCCACCAGCCCCCAGCTTCTGAAATGATCTGTTTTAACTGGATGCAGTTACTACTCCACAGACAAGCAAGCAGAGGCCAAGAAAGCAAGCGAAGGA